ATTTATTTATTTATTTTTTACATAACTTTGGCTTCCAGCTCATAAAACCCACAAAAACTGGATTTCAATACATTACAACACTGTGAAGAAATCATCACGGCATGAATGTTTTAAACTGAGTGTCACACACCAATCATCTACTAAACTCAAAGCACCTGCACAGGTTTCCCCAGGTGTTATTTAATTGCTTTGGTTCAATTGTCTCACTTCGCTTCAATATGGCGAACACTGCAGACATGACAACTTCCCAGGAGACCATCATTGATACCCTCCATAAGATGGGTAAACCTCTAAAGTTTATACCTAAGGAGGCTGGCTGTTCACAGAGTGCTGTGGCCAAGCATATCAATGGAAAGTCTACTCAAAGACAAAAATGTGGCAACACAACATGCACTAGCAAAGGAGAAGAAGGACTGGACTGTTGGCCAGTGGCCCAAGGTCCTCTTTTCCCATAAAAGGAAAGTGTGCCTTTCATTTGCTATTCAAGGTCCAAGGGTTTGGAGGAACACAGGTGAGGAACAGAACCCAAGCTGCTTCAATTCCACTGTGAAATATCCACAGTCAGTCATGATTTGGGGTGCAATGTCCAGTGCACGTGTTGCTAAACTCTGCTTTCTTACATCCAAGGTCACCTCAACAGTCTACCACAATGCAGATTTCATTATCCAGCAAGACCTGGCCCCTGCTCATACTGCCAGAAGCAACAAAACCTGGTTTGATGCTCATGCCATCACAGCGCTTGACTGGCCAGCCAACTCGCCCGACCTAAACCCCATTGACAATCTATGGGCTATTCTCAAGAGGAAAATGAGGGGCACCAGACCCAACAACAAAGAAGAGCTGACAGCAAGCATCAAACAAATGTGGGCTTCCATAACTCCTATGCTATGCCACAGCCAGATTGCCTCAATGCCACATCGCATCAAGGCAGTGATTAAGGCCAAGGGATTCCCAACCAACTATTGATGATTGATATATCATTTTGAAAGTACCACATTTTCATTGATTTCTTTTTTTCTTTATTTATTTTCTGCTAAAACAGTATTCTGATTCACAGTATTCTAATTTATTGAAATCCTGTTTTTGTGGGTTTCATGAGCTGGAAGCCTAAATTATGTAAAAAATAAACAAAAATACCTAAAATTGATTACATTGTGGACCACTAATATATGACAGTTTAACTTTCCGAATGCAATTACGGATATTAAACTTTTTTCACAATATTCTAATTTTTCTGAAAGGATCTGTACTCGTGCACACGTTTTACATTTTGCATTCTAATCATCTCCAGGGTGTTCCTCTTCATCTTCATATATATCTACATTTCTACTTTGTATTACAAAAAGCAAAGTAGCTCAGCATCTTGAACATTGACATTCAATGCCACACTACTATCACAATCCCCCAACAAAGACAAATTGCTTTTGAAATAACTTTTATTACATCAATAGGCTGAGATCATTCATAAGAGCTTGTTCTTTTTCCTGTGACATTAATTTATTCCATTAAGGTTAGACGGAAGTTATATCCTAAACAATTCCTCTAAATTTGTTGAAAAGCACAACGTTTGCTCTGTAAAACTCCTTTCCCTAAGCCCCTCCCCCTCCACGGGGAGGTCAAAGGTCTGCATAAAACAAACTTCCACCTGCTCTCCGTCTGCTAAAACCCCACCGTTTCTGTTTATTTTTAAACAATAGGGATTACACACGTGATACAATGCAAACAATTCATTTCACAAGTTTCCCCTTCAACACACTGAAGTTGTG